TTCGTGAATCTTATATTGCCTCATCATGATAAATTCATAATATGAATAAAGAGTATGAAATTATATGCGGTCATTATGTTCATAATGCAGAGAACGAGCTGCAGTCATGGCAGATTTAAGTATCAAACGTTCTTAAGAGTTTCTTATATGACAACTGCTTCAATCAATATTTTCTTGTAAAAGGTCGTTAATTTGAAGCATGAAGTTCAAAGTCTTTAAAAATTCAGGTCATATCTCGTAGAAAACAGCGTTTCCATTATGAAGACCAGTCGCGTAAGGCTATTCACAAAAAAGTTATCCAGTTAATCTGAGGAGCATATGAAATTAATGAATATATATGTACAAAATGCGGATAATTTTATATGTTAAAGATGGTAGAGAGACATGTTTTGATGGGGTGCAATGAAAAGTATTTAATATGAAGACAAACATTTTTTAAGCTGCTTGAACTACTCGTCCAGATTTTCATTCGAAACGAAAGTCACGTGTTACAAAAGCTACGTCTGCTCTTTCCCTGTTAGGCTACATGCATGAAACAGATAACAGAAAAATAGGTTGAATTATATCTGAATCGTGCATTTAAATATAAAAAGTTGTAAAATATTTTCCGGTATCTAATATGTCAGGACACGTCGAGGAAGTTCTAGGCGCCGATCCACCAATTATAAATGACCATTACGGTTTCAAAAACTTAGTGAATATTAATAATAAACGTACATAATTTTTCTTGCACGATCAAAAATGTTAATGTGAGAGGAGGCTGTAATTGATCGAATACATTACAATCAAAATTTTAAATCATTTACGTTCAAAGGATATAACTAAGTTGTATCCATTTTATATGAAAAATAACCGGACAGAATCTGTCTACATGTCTGTTACTCCCTGGTAAGCATGCATACTTTAAAATATTTTGAAACAGTCCAGTGTCTATAACATGCATTTCTTCTGCGGAGTTTTGGTCCTAAAATGATTGCTGAAGGTGCTTGTCGGATTACATTCTGTTTCGCGTTTTTTTTTTATATTTCATGTAATTTGTTAAATTGGTGTCATAAATTGCGGAGAGTAATATATGGTGCTTGTGTAACTAACGTGCTCGAATGAATTAAAATGCTTTCATAGTGCACGAGCTTTGAGGTATGACTCCAAAACGAACGAAGTGTGCGTTCAGATAATGAAGATATGGAATTGTGTTCAGTGTAAAATCAGTTAAGTGAGAGAAAAGAGAAAATCACAGCAGGCAGTGAGTGTTTAAAAATAAATTTCCTGCATTTTGAAAATGGTGCTCAAATGTGTAGGGAAAATATTTTGAGCAGCGGAAATGCATAGAGTGCAATTCAGTTCAGCGATGGAAGTGATATGATCAGTGAAAAATGTGGAGAAGAATAGTGTTAATCACATCCTTTAGTGCTGTAGGTATTAGTGTCAATTGTGAATTTCAAGAGCCACAACTACGAGCTTCAGTATCATCAATTGCAACATCAATTCTAACTACAATCTTCAAGCATCACTATCTGCAACATACATAACTACAAGCTTCATCAGAACCACTCACTGCAAGATGTCGGGGTTAAAGTAGGTGACCGTTTTGTTTGTCCCCGTTGCTTTCCGGTCTGTAAGGGTCGCTGGCTGAATCATTTAGAACTGCATAAACCACACTGCATATCAGTGTTTGTAATGTCATAGAGCCGTAGGGTTTTGTAGTATGTAAGCGTCAAGTGGGCAGCCTGTATTTCAGAGGAGTCACTACATAATTAAGGAAGTGTTTAATATTTGTCTTGCTGTTTACAGTCCCCCTCCCCTTCTTCGGTGTTAGGTCGCGATGTTAGGTTTCTGTGATGTTAGGCAGGCAATTGTTTTAGAAATAGTACCGTGCCAGTGTGCTGGGCCGCACTGGTAGCGTAGTGTTCCGGCAGGCTGCAACAAACTTGACACCCCTGTGGTTCAGCCAGTGGCGGACGGAGGCACCACTTGGAGAGGTCGCGGAAAGACACATCAAATTAATCGTCAAACGGAAAACCGCCCCAGAACAATCGAATTGCTGTTCTGTGGGCAATTTTATTGCAATGATACTCATTTGGTTATAACCTGAGTATAATTTCCGTACAAATTATAATTTCAATTTATAAATTATTCTGAAGTTTTCTGTAACTATAAATTCCATATAAATGGACTGAAAGTAAAACAGTTGACATTATGTGAATTGTTTTACAGCGGTCTTGTTTCGAACATTCAAAGCCTCTGTATTTCTGAGGCTCTGTGTATGTGTAAGTAGTGGCCTCTTCTACAAGGAATTGATTGGCACTCGCCAGGGAGTAGAGTGTATACATTCACACTTGTCTCTTGTTCAAGCGATGAAGTGATGTAACACTCTAAACCTACTTAACTTTACTTAGCTTAAAGTAGACGCCTTCCAAAAAATATGTAAAATGAACATCTAAATTTCGTTTATAATGTGATGCATTTTTAAATTATTTAAAAATTCATCACTATATAATTTTTTCAGTAACATCTTCATGTTTATGCACCAAATGGAGGGACATCTACAATCACAAAATGGTGTGTGCACTCAATTCTTCCCTTAGCTTCTAGAGTGAAGCAGTCCAACCTCAATGACACATTCATTATTTCATAAAAAGTGTTTCGTCAGGTTGCTATAGGAACAATAAATACACTAAACACACAGGGCTGTGGAACTCGCCCGGTTTCCATTGGCAGCCGGAGGCGGCGAGCGGAGCGTACTGAACATTTTGGAGTTTTTTCTGTCTCGTTCATGTTAGGTTTGCGTTGGGGGGTGGGGGGCAAACATTACATCTCCCGAACGTGATCAGAAAATTCTGCAAATGTTGCGGGACGCTACGTGAGCCAACAATGCCACTATGCATGGTTTATTTGGAAAATCGTGCCTCTTAAAAATGAAAATTGGTCATTAAAAGTAATAAGATTATTACTTAAAAACTACTTTCGAAAATTTTCAGCGAAACGATTAGAGTTGTACTTTGGAAGAATCGTTTGGAATAAAAAGGCTGCAGCTTTTCCGTTATATTTAAAATGCTCGTATTTTCGTAGGGATGGGAGGAAATAAGCCATTTGTTAGGATATTCAGGATCAGTTGCAGCCTTCATTAGAATACGAGGACATTAAAATAATTCTTCAAATTAAACTTTCGTCCTCAAGTTTTACTAATTATATACTTCTCTCTTTCAGGTATTCTAATATATTTTGATTGAATTGTTTCAGAATTTCGTTTGTATGCAACGACAGGGAACCCCACAAAGTTGGAATAAGACAATATTCACATTCGCACTACAATTTTCAAACATTTTACATCAGTTTGGCTTCGACAGGCTGCAGCTCTTCCACGTTTTTTTTTTACTGTCGCCTTTCCAAAAAATTGTAGGACTGCGTCTGGGGTGGGGGGTAACAGGCCATTTGTTAGGTTATTATGGATCAGTTTCAGCCTGCGCTAGAAAATGAGGGCTCTAAATCATTAAATGTTCGGGAGTCGAAGTCTCCCGCATTTCGAAGAGAGCCCGCAGTTGTATTAAGAATGCGATTTCTGTGTGAGGTATACTAATGGTCTGATTGAATTGTTTCAGGTTTGAAATCAACTTCTCAGCAAGATGGATAATCATTGGATTAATTTGAAATTCTGTATTTTTTTAATTCATAATGCGTTTTAAAGCATTGTTTGGAAATCGCAAGCTGCAACTCTTCCTGTTTTTAATTCTTGAAATTTCTTAGGACTGGGAGGGGGGAGGGGGCAGGCCATTTTTGGAATATTATGGATCAGCTGCAGCCTGCATTAGAACTGGAGGACACTAAAATGGTAAAAACTGAAAGATGACATTGAAATTCAATGCATCAACGACCGTCTCGTCCTCAGTCGATTTACTAATCATTGCTTCTCTTTCAGGACCTATAATAAATTTTGATTTTTGTTTCAGGTCCCCCCCTCAAGACCCTGTGGCTCAACGTGCCGAGGGGGTGAAACAAGGAAAGTTGTATAAAACCAGTTCAAATTTGGGCGGGGGAGGGGGAGCTCGAAGTCCATTTCTGTATAGCAGAAGTTATAAATTCGAATACCAAATTGTGCTTTCAGCTGTCTTAAAAAGTGTTCAGTTGAAGAAATACTTCTTAAGAACAAAGATTTGCAACCACGTTGAAAAATAACAAAATAATTGGCAGCTCTGAACGTTTTACTGAGTAACTGGCATGGATGGAATAACAGTGTGGTAAATGGACACCTTGAGGTTTATTCCAACATAACCCTGTCATTAAGATTGTTTGGACATTCTTTTACGAGCCTTATTTAAAGCGGCGATGAGCCCACAGCACGCAAGCTGTCGTAAGCACGTTACTGACTAGAGGTAATATTTTTTCTTTTGCAATAATGAGTAATTTTTTCATTAGTGGAACTTCTGGCGGTTTGTAATAACTGAACTAATGCAACTTTCCTTGGCTAAACAGGGTCCAACCTATCTCATGAGTTGTAATGAATTTTCAGAATGAGTGGGTAGCACTCGATTATTTTACGGGACGTACTACGTTTAACCTTTTAAAAATTGAAACTCTCTTGAATAATATACAAAAATTCAGTTCGTACCTCACAGGAAACGTTACGTCTCCGCTACAAAACCCAACCGGTTAATGCTGCTTGGGAAACAGTCGCTGTTTATTGTAAGAAACATAATGGAACACACAAATATATTCTGTGGGCATAATGCAGAGCTTTATTTTGTTAAAACAGGTGGTGCATATGCCTGTGCTAATAGCTTAAGTCGGCTAGGAGGCACGATATTTCGAATTTTTCGGAAGTCAAACCGCAAGGTAAAACCTTAGGTCGATGTTCTTTTAAATTCACTATTCAATAATCATATCTGACGCTATATAATCAGTTACAGTATCGTTAGCCCATTAGAGCACAGTGGCAAATTAGTGTCATCAGCTTTAACACTGAAAAACTTAGCATTTTTCTCACAGTGCNCATATGCCTGTGCTAATAGCTTAAGTCGGCTAGGAGGCACGATATTTCGAATTTTTCCGAAGTCAAACCGCAAGGTAAAACCTTAGGTCGATGTTCTTTTAAATTCAGTATTCAATAATCATATCTGACGCTATATAATCAGTTACAGCATCGTTAGCCCATTAGAGCACAGTGGCAAATTGGCGTCATCAGCTTTAACACTGAAAAACTTAGCATTTTTCTCACAGTGCATTTACGCTTTCTTACTCTTACAATAAAGAACGATCTTTTTTTTAATTAGTCCTAGTGATGATTATTTTCCTGTTGAGGCAGGAGCTACATTTCCAAATGAGATTAGAGACACGGTAGTAAATATTTCGCTTACAATCTTCTGAAATGTGACGCAGTGTAGTGTGACGGCGGGAATCATTCGAAAAGTTAACGCCTACTTATTCTACCAGGCTACACGTCGTCACATTACAGAAGGACGTAGTCCTGAATTTTTAAAATATTCAGACGAATTTCAGGCTTCATGATTAAATTTACCAGGAACTAAGACACTGAATTTGTTCAGTACACGTGTGTTAACTTCATATTTGTTTTCTTTCAGATTCCATTGTTTTGTGGAGAAGTTTCCTTCCCTGTTCTGGGGAGTAGTGAAGGAAGATTAAGAATCGTATAATGCAACTATACAACGTTAATTGGCATGCGTGATCACGCAGAGATAACCTGGAATTTGACATTTATAGTCGTAAATATTTCATTAATCCGCAGAGGAGAAAGGATTTTACTGTTATAAAAGGAACAGACTGAATACTGAATTGGCGGAAGACTTAAAAGACACCAGGGCCTATACTAACTTGTGAGACATAACACAAGTTGCCATACTTACGGAGTTATGAGCAACATTTTTTTTGTAAAGTAACATGCTTTAATATTGACAAATCAAATACACCACCTCAATCTACAGACCTTTCTTTATTTTTCCACATAATCCCCACTTCTTTGTACACATTTCTCCCAGCGTTCTGGCAGTTTGAAAATTCCCCTTCTGTAAAATTCCGTTCCAGCCATCCGAAGACACTGACGCACTGCTTTCTGAATTGCCTCCCTTGCCTAAAACGTTGTCCAACCAGCTGATCCTTCACAAATCCGAAAAGATGGTAGTCGGAGGGTGCCAGATCAGGGCTATAGGAGGGGTGTGGAAGAACTTCCCACCCCATCTTTGCAATTGTTTCCAATGTGAGGCGAGCGGCGTGGGGGCGAGCGTTGTCATGCAGGATGATGATGTTTCGTCCCGGACGTTTATCGCGCAATGCACGACGGGGCTTGTG